AGAGTTCCCTTAAGCCTCCAGGGGCAGTAATGGCTCTGCTTAGGAAATCGAACATAAAGACATATGAGAAAAGATTTCCCTCTTGAGAATAGAAAACTGATGCCTTCTTGCTTCTTCAACTCCTTCAGGGCCAGAAAGGCTGTCTTTCCCCAGGGAAGCAAAGGGATCTGAACTGTAATACAAATTTTCCTTCTAAGAAACACAATACTGAACTAACTCTGAGTGTCAGAGGTTACTATCTCAGTAAGTTTAACTCCATAAGAAAATGAAGGTCTCAAGCCCACCCCATGATACTGGATGGCTGTCTGGGGCAGAGATGGTGGTAAGACTCGAACTGGGCTTTCAACTAGAAGAGCTATAAGGATAACTTATGAGGATAGATCTTAAAGAAAGTTAGGGGGCCCTAAGACAGGGAAAGGGTACAAGGCCAGGTGAAGATTGTACTAACCCTAAGCCCAGGCTCTTGTGCTCTCCGAAGAGGAGCTGGACCATATTGAGAGGTTCAAGGCTCTGAACTAACGTAACAGGTAAAGGATATCTTGAGCAGCCTTTGTTGAGTTCTTATAGGAGTAGGAGGCAGAAGGTAGATTTGGAAGGGATAGCGGGCTCCCAGATGCTTCTACCTCCACCCCCACCCCAGTTGATCCTGGTCAATCAGAAATTTTCACTAGTCAACCTTTCACTTCTAGCTCTTCTTTCTTTGGTGCCTCTTTTCACTCCCTTTTGCACTCTCTACTTTCATCTTAATCTCTTTTGCTATAATTACAGGCACTTTTTCCATCTTCTACTGTTTCTATTTTTTATGCAGTGCTTCTATTGCCCTGATTTGTTCTGTGCTCCCTCTATTCTCCACTATTCAGTCCAGAGTCACCCAGTGTACAAAGCTTAATCCTAACCAACAAGCTCTCAAGGAGAGGAACACTCTGGCACCATTTTCCACTGGATGACTGGCTGTCTTCCCCTCATCACTTATCACTTTATATCCCCCTCTCACATTTCCTGTTCCTAATAACCAGGTTTGATGTCAGGTGGGATGATTTTTGAAATTAGGAAAAATCCCTATCACTGTCTATATATTTGAATTTGATACCCAGAAGGATTGTGAAGAAACATCTATGCACAGGTATGTCTACTTGACACACCAAGAGCAGAAATATCCAAATCACTCTTCAAGGCTGTCTGTGTAAAGGCTCTTTAGAGATCTCATCCATGCCCTGAGAAGGCCTTCTGCAAGCTACTGACTGGGAAGGAAGGCAGAAAAGACTGATTAACCTGGGAAAAGAAAAAGCAGCAATTGGAAGAAATAATGAAAAGTGGTATAAACACTTCTGTTAGAACAAACATGAAGAAACTTTAATAATTTTTATTGAATTTTTGAGAATTTCACACAATATATTTTGATATATTTAAACTCCCTCCTATATCCGCACCCCCACTTCTAACCACTCACCAAATTTCTGTACTATAATATACAATATATATGCATATATAGAGACAGAGACAGAGCGAGGCAGAAAGACAGAGAGAAGGCCAGGTTTGTGTTCCAAATGCCCATCAGTGTGTGTTCATCCACAAAAGTCTTATCCTTTAATGTGACTGAATCTCCCCTTTCCCAGTTATGATCAGTTGCTAATACTTTTTCAGGCTGGGGAAGAAGACTTTTGTGATTATTCTTCAAAGCAGAGGCCCAGAGTCTTGAAACTAATGTACATCTCCCAACTTGAAATTCCAGCACAAATGGTTCTGCCTGCAGATTTCTGATTTTGTTCACATGTTGATCTTTTTTTAATTTCTTATTTTTATTATGTGTATAGTGTTTTGCCTGCATGTATGTAAGTGAACCTGTATGTGCAGTGCCTATGGAGACCAGATGAGGGCCTCAGATCCCTGGAACTGGAGTTGTGGATGGTTGTTAGTCAACATGTGGGTACTAGAAACTGAACTGGGTCCTCTACAAAAGCAACTAGTGCTCTTAACCACTGAGTCACCTCTGTCTCCAGTCATGTTGATCTTTGAGATAGTTCCTTTAACTTTAGCAGTTACAGGTAGACCGTGATAATAATATCTAGTTGTGCTTTGAGAATAATGTAGATGTGTCTAAAAGTCCTTCCCTTTTACTTGTCCTACTTATATATTAGAATTCTTAGACATGAGTACGAATATATCATGTGTTTTCTGAAAAGTTCTGAGGCTTCTGCCTCAACCTATTTACTCTTCAGTCTGGAATTCTGATTCTAAGTATGCTAGATCTTCTTACTCTACCCCCTGCTTCTGATACACTATCAGGGTTTCACCTTTTCCATCTTCACCCTTGGTAGATTTTCTGACCTTCCTTCCAGCAGTTTCCTTACTGCGTAGTTGTCTCCAATCTACTGTTAAAACTATTCTTTATTTATTCATGTTACATTTTTCAAATACATGTATTCCTTTTTCAAATCTTCTGTTACTTTTCATGCCTCCCAGTAACAACCACAAGATATTAAAACATCTGTCTTCCAAATATCAGTATACAGAAAGGACCAACTAAAGCCAAATCAGAGTCCCATATCCTTGTACTTAACCATATTTCTGCATTTTCTGTGTATCCTGTGAAACCCATTCTAAAATTTCTTCAGCATTCATCTTCTAGTTGATGAATTATATCCTTCATTGTGGCTAATTCATCATTAAATCTAGGCCTTAAATCTTTCCTTTTAGATTTATTTTCATTTATAGAACTTAAGGCATTTTTTCTAAAAGCATACTTATTCCTGCCAACATTTTCAAGTTTGTTGTTCACGTATTATATCATAGGAAGTAAATTCATTCATTATTCTTCCACAAACAACTCCAGGATCTAGGACTTTTGTACATCAAACTCTGCTATGATTTTTGTACCTCCAACTCATAATTTTTTTTCCTCTTCACTACTTTTTATTACAAACAGATTAATTTCTTCTGAAGCATCTGTGTTGAAATTCTTTGAGATTTTAGATGAAAGTCCATTCCTCAAGAAAGGATTTGGATTTATATTATTTTCTTGAGCCATTGCCATTCCAGGATAATATGAAATTCCTTTTTGAGCCAAATAGTTGGTGTAAACCAGGCTATCATGTCACATGAGACCCAGCTTATGGATCAGTGCTTGTAAGGAAGCTTCCTCTTCACAAAGTGTGGAGGAGTCAGGTTCCTTTAAAGTTTCAGGTAGGAATGAAGGTGGAGATGGAAGAACAGGTTCGGACTTGGTTAGTGCACATCTTTACTCTAGGTATGCTCAAGAGACTGTCATGGAGCAAAGTCTAATTGATTAGCTACATGCTACAGCCCTGGATTTTATTCTTCTATTTTTAAAGCTGACATATAAAATCGACATTTGAATTCAATTGAAGTTTTTAAATTAATATATGGATTATTCCAAAATCCTACAGGCCCAGAAGAGATACTATATTGCTTCATATGTCCATCAACACATGCATTATTTTGGCATATGATAATATTCATTTTATAATATTTTGAAATATTCATTTGATATATTTTGATATTTGAAATAATCATTGTAGGATGGATAAAACAAGTTTCTCATCCTACATGTTAAAAGTTAAGAATAGAATGATAGTTACCAGGGGCTGAGAGGTGAGGGGATATATTTTGGGAGGGTGTTGGTCAAAGGATGATTATTTCAACTACATAGTAAATTTCAAAATCTCTGCTGTACTACACAGTGACTATAGTTAATAGTATATTTTACTGTTGAGAGAATGCTAAGAGAGTGAGTTTTTAAAAATCTTCTCACCGTAAAAATTTGGTAACATATGAGCCTGAATTTCATCTCAAGTCCCTGAATTCTAGTTGATGATGAAAACTGTGATGATAGTCATCTAATTATACAAACGTTCTTGGGTTAGAGGCCAATTTTGAAAATTTTAATTTTAACTTCTGGATTGCAGAAAATTCCTACCCGTAGAAGTTTTCTTATTTTTCTTTATCATCAAAGATCCAAGGCATTCAAGTATAGATGTTGTTATGTACAGGTATAGTTGTGATTGTGAGTCTGAGTGTATCATTGTGGGTATGACAATATCTGTGACTGAGGATAAAGTGTCAAACATACACATGGGTGAAATTGTTTTTATTTTCGTCAGGAACTCTGGAGTTTGTATCATGCTTCTTAGTTCTGGCTACTTGTAGTTTCACATCCTTAAAACATGAGAGTGGATCCAAGTAGTTTTCAGAATTCTTGAGGTATAAGATTTGTGGGGTTGGGTGGCGGGGGTTGTTTGTTTGTTTGGTTGGTTTTTTGTTTTTGTTTTTGTTTTTGTTTTTGCCTTTTTGAGACAGGGTCTCCCTATAGCCCCAGCTGGCCTGGAATTCACTATGTAGACCAGGCTGGCCTTGAACTCACAAAGATCTGCCTGCCTCTGCCTCCCAAGTGCTGTGATTAAAGGCGTGAGCCACCACACCCAGCAGACTTGTGTATCTTTACATTGTATAGTATGATAATACAAATATACAGCATGTAATTGTCAACTCAAGGAATTATGACACTTCAATCTCCTCAAATACTATTTCTACATGTTGAAAACTTTGGTGCTCTTCTGCCATTTTGAAACATATCATAGATTGTGGTGACTAATAATTGTGTTATGTAAATACAGTAAACTAAAATGTTTCCACACAGATTTAGTTTCTTGGATTTTTACATATTTCTTTTGAATAATATGTGATTTTAAAATAATTTATGATTCAGGAAAAATGCCAATATCAACCAAAGTGTTGAAAAGATAATTTCATGCAAGATAAAAATACCACAAGAACCATATTTTAAAAACCAAAACGGGGAAACATTTTACCTGTCTTAGAGCTATAACTTACATGTTAGGCAGCAGCGATACGGTATTAAGGGTTATTTCCTTACCCTTGTGGACCTTACCGACTAAACACATCTATCAAAGTCTGTGGTGCCACTAAACTCTTTCTTCTTCAGCTACTTGAAGACATCCACCATACTAAAGTGACAGCCAATGATGCTTAGGAATAATAGCTCCCTCTCTCTGGATGTCTCTGAATTCTTCCTAAACTGTTTTGTCAGATCTCACAGCTGGCAACTCTGGCTATCCCTGCCCCTCAGTCTCCTCTTCTTCCTGGCCATGGGGGCCAATGCCACCCTCCTTATCATCATCTGGTTAGAGGTCTCTCTGCATGAACCCATGTACTACCTGCTCAGCCTCCTCTCCCTCTTGGATGTCGTGCTCTGCCTCACCGTCATCCCCAAGGTCCTGGCTATCTTCTGGTTTGACCTCAGGTCCATCGGCTTCTCTGCCTGCTTCCTGCAGATGTTCATCATGAACAGCTTTCTCCCCATGGAGTCTTGCACCCTCATGGTCATGGCCTATGACCGATATGTAGCCATTTGCAAACCTCTGCGATACTCATCTATCATCACTGAGCAGTTTGTAGTAAAGGCTGCTCTCTTTATCTTGACCCGGAATGTGTTTCTCAGCTCACCCATTCCTGTCCTCTCTGCCCGTCTCCACTACTGTGAAAAAAAGATAATTGAGAACTGTATGTGTGCCAACCTCTCTGTGTCCAAACTCTCCTGTGACAGCATTGTCATTAATCGAATTGTACAGCTAGGCTTGGCCTGGGCCCTTCTGGGCTCTGACCTCATCCTTATCTTCCTCTCCTATGCTTTCATCCTCCAAACCATTCTCAGACTCAAGGCAAAGGGGGCAGCTGCCAAAGCTCTGCGCACCTGCGGCTCTCATTTCCTCCTCATTCTCTTCTTCAGTACTATTCTGCTGGTTTTAATCCTTACTCATGTGGTCAAGGAAAAGGTTTCCCCTGACATCCCCGTCTTACTTAATGTGCTACACCATGTTATTCCTGCTGCTCTGAATCCCATTGTCTATGGAGTACGAACCCAGGAGATTAAACAGCAGATTTGGAAATTACTGAGGAGGGGTGCGTAACTTCAGAAGGCACCTGTGTTCTTGCTACATTAATTGCGATGGAGAGTGCTCAAAATCACAATTAGAAGGCAGAGACTGAGAGACAGAAACAAGGAAACAAAGGGAAACCAGTGGAAATATGAAAATCAATGTTCACTTAAAGAAATGTGAATGGTGGGAACAATGCACAGGTTTGGAAGAACAAATGAAGTGTTAAAAAAAACTTTAAAATTCTTAACCAATATATTTCAACATTTTCCTTCAATTATTCAAAATGTTGATTGAAAATCATTTTGTAACCAGCAAATTATTTGAAAACTACACTACATAAGTAAATTTTGGTCCCATTACTCAAAGAGAGGACAGTCTAGTGGCTAAGGCAGAAATATATAAAGCCCAGGATATTGAAATGCACTAAATTAGATTAAAACACATAAATAAGACATTTTGGAAATCCTAAAGGGAAAGGAATTTGTTTCCCTAAATAGAACCAGAAGACTATCACTGGAACATATACCAGAAAGTTGTATTTTCATGGACCAGAGCATAGAAACATAAAAAACCATTTGCTCATCTATGGAATAGAGCATCTAATTAGCCATGGTTTCCTTATCCCAGTTAATGTAAGCTCCTTGTTTGCAGCTTTATAAGCACCAAAATTCGAAGGTATTTCTGGATCTCACTTTGCATAATAACCAAAACCTGGCCCATAAGCATATCTTATCAGCCTTAGAATTCCATTTTTTCCTCTGTCACCTCTATATAAACCAAGCCACCTCATCTCCATTTGGAATATTACAATCACCTCCTAGAAGAGGGGAGATCTTCTTGCTTCTGCTATTGTTTTTCTATAGTTCAGCCAAAATATAGTGACCAGATACAGTCACTGGCCATTCCAAAATAAGTTAGGCTAGTTATATTAGTCTAGATCTTTCATAGTATCAAGGCATCATCTCTTTCTGTTTAATACAGGTGGCACATGTTCATGTTCTTTACTGCCAATTACACCATTACTATCTAATTCCATATTTCTTACCACAAAAAATTATAGCCATGTTGCAGTTGCTGGCAACACTACAATCCTTTGGGACATGTTTTGCTGAAATTATATAAATCTTACATCTACATTTATATTAAAAACATGTATTTGTTAATAGCTACATCATTACTAATTACATACATTATACATGATGCTACCCACAAACACTAGCCTCAATTGACTCAAAGTTCTTATTCTTCTTAATTGATGTTGATCTTTAACTCAAGACTTGGCCAAAAACCACAAGTGAGTTTGAAGAGTAACCATTTTCTCTCCATGTTTAAGTTTCTCTTCACTTTAATACATACTCTCTTGAACTCTTCCAGCCATAATCATTGTATTCCTACAGTGAAATCTGTCAATGTTGACCATATTTCTCTAAGCATTCACATAATAACATCCCCACAGGTAATCCAATAAACAGATGCCTAAAAGGAATGTCTTCATTTATTCTTGGAGTCGCAATAGAAAATTCTTTAGTTTCACTGGCAACATTGAAATGTTCATAGTAAGAGGAATCCAGTGACATGAAATGTAGAGGTGACAAAGCTAAAATTTGAATTATAAACCATTTCTGTGCAAGGTTACATATGTTTGGTGATTCTATTCAAATCCAGTGGATATAAAATTTAAAATGATATCTGAAATTCATTAATTGTAATTTTATTTAGAAAAAAAGTTAAATCTTATTTCAACATTTACTTGAGTCATTATAGTATACATAGATTTTTTTCAAAATTATAGAAACCTAATTACGTTTAAAACAGTACTTAATAAAATTGTCAATAAAATTCTTCAACCAATTACTGAAGTCTAGTAATTATACACCATGTTTAATTATTTCAATGGCACTGAGCACACCATATTAATTGAAATATTTTGGCTCTATCAAATAAAGCACTACTAATGACATGGGATTTTCCATCTCTTAGTTTATTTTTGAGTCTTACTTTAAAAGTGTTCAAGTTTATGTAGACAAATGAAAAAAGCAACATGTTTCTCAATTTGTTCAGATTTGGGACACAGAAAGGTTAAGTTCTAAGAGCACCTGGGATGGAAGTGAGCATCCTGTAGATGAATGGGTTCAATGGATGGAGTCCTTGCTCTAAAACCAGTCTGCTGCTCTGCAGATGTCCTTCAAAGAGACCTAGGTACCCATAAGATGGGCCTAGAGGTACCTTCAAAGCAAACTCAGCTATGGCTTAAAGGCCCAAAACTCATAAAATGGTATTTATTTCCCCCTGCTTCTACATCTTCTGCTGGAGTAAGGGATGGAGCAGGAGCCTGCAGTGGAATTTGCCCCAGCCAGAAAGAAAATCTTTATAGTTTGAAGGACATTGAGGGTGTGCTCAACAGTCTTTCCTTAGTATCTGATCAAAATTAATTCTAGATTAAGATTTGTTCTGGTTCCTGCCTAAGAAATCTTAAGAGCAAAGCCCCAGTCGGGCTGGAGAGATGGCTCAGTGGTTAAGAGCACTGGCTGCTCTTGCAGAGGACCTAAGTTTGATTCCCAGTGCCCACGTGGCAGCTAACAGTCATGTGTAACTCCAGTTCCAGGGAATCTGATACCCTCTTCTAACCTCTGTGGACATTGCACTACACAAGTACATATATGTACATGCAGATAATGCGCTCATCAATATAAGATAAAAATACCATAAAATATGTTGAAATAAAAAGACAAAGCCCCAAAAGATCAAATTGTTTTCAAGTAGTCATTGGCATCTCATAATGAACCTTAAGAATATTTGCAAAAATGTAAATATCAGTGTCAGGTATGGGTGCCATCTTGTGTAGTGGACCTTTAATTCAATCAGAAAGTGGTTGGTTACTCCTATAACATTTGTGCCACCATTACACTAGTGGGACTGTCTTTCCAGTTCAGTTGTAGTCCATGGGATTCATAGCTGGGTAAGGTTGACTGATGATTAATTTTCTCTTCCAGTAGCATGCATAGAACTTTCGAGCACCGTGAAAATTACTAACCAATCGAGATGAAGCTTTGAGGTCAGTACCAGCTTGATTTCTTTTTGTTTGTGCCATAGTTCACATATTCAATGTCTGCAGAAGTTAACTTTCTGGTGGGTAACCAAGAGCAGAAGCAATGGCCAGCACTGTTTGAAGATCAACAGCTTTGTAGCCCGAAAATTATTCATTCCTTCAAAAAGAGTGGATGATGTGGGGCAACCTGGGAAAAGGGGTGAGCTGCAACCATTTTTAAACTTGAAGCAAAGCATACAGTGTGCAGCCAGCTGGGAAGCAGGGAACGGCTCTGCAGGGCAAGATGAGGCACTCAGACTGTGGCATGGCCATGCGAAAGCTGATGGAGAATACTGGTAGGGCTTGAATGGCTCGTGGGTTATGAGAAGCTGTTTCTTTGCAAGTCAAGCCATTAAAGGGAGGAGCCAACACCATATTGGGCACAAGGAAAGTGGAGTGAGAGAGACCATGGGCAGCAGATGGATAGCATGTGTGTTTCAAATATGGAAAATGAAAAGCCTGTAAGAATCCATGTTTTTGTAAGTCACCCCTCCCAAATGTCATATAACTATGCAAAATTCAAATAGGATATCTTATGTCACTTTGTTAGCCCTGGCATCTCAGAGAGAGCAAGCAGGGCACGAGTCTTCCAAGAAGGGAGGAAAAAGGAAAAAATTTGGCAAAACTATTGGAGTAGTCAGCAGGATACACGAACCACAAGCATCTGGGAAAAACATGAGGATGTGGGCCTGGGAAAGCGTCATGATTCCAGCAGCATCTTGTGAACTGATCCCAATCCCAAATCCAGAAGGATGGAGATGGGCACCACAAGGCATCCTGTGAGGTAACACGACCCATCTGGGACCAGCTAGCAGGAACCCAGGGGAGAGGGTAGCCAAACCCCATAAGCTTAAGGGGGTTAGCTGTGCTTACGTGCATTGTACAATGGATCATAAAATATATAACTAAAATGACATAGGCCATGCAGATTCAGACAGACTCAAAGGGGAAATTCCGGGGCCACAGCTGTGCCATAAATGTGGAGAAATAATGCAATTAATTGTATGTGAAAATTCTTTAAAGATCATAAAGAGACTAGATAATTTTATAAGCCATGGAAGCAAGAGGGGAATCTAGCGGGGGGCATGACCACTTTGTATAATAAAAGATTTTTCTGAAACAAAGACAGCCTCACAGGAGGCTGAAATGACTAAGGAGTTACTGGCAAATTCAGTCTCAGCCTCAGAGCTTGAGAGAGAGAAAAAACAGAATATTTTAACTTGTATAAGGTTAGGGGTTCAGGACTCCAAGGACCCAGGAAAAGTAGTGAGAAAAGAAACAACCTAGAATTAAAAGTAGCTAAATCTGCCCCTCAGATTCAACCTTTGATACAAACAGAAAAAAGTGAACAGGACTATAGCAAGGAGAAAATATTCCACACTAGAGCTGTGGAAAGTAAGATAAAGACTTATAAGCAGGAAATCAGAGCATTCCTCACCACGTGGCTTGTGAGGGTATGAGACATGGGAGCAAATAACATCAGTCTAAGTCCTTCAGAGCTGAGCAACCACCCATCTGTCCTTGCGACATAGGCTATTCAACCTAGGCCAATGCAGAGGGGAGCAGCCCTTAATCGAATGGCTGGTGCAAGGCATTAAAGATATGTAGTCATTACCAAGGGAAACTCCCATAATTAACAAAGTCTGGAGGACTATAAAAGAGGAACAGGCATTACTGAGAGAACCAGGTATGAAAAAAGCAATACATGACACCCAGTTTGCTGGGCCAGATAGGGCTATATTCACCAGAGATATAAAGGAAAGGTTAATTCAACTTGGACCTCAAGAATGGTATAGAGCTTTAATGGTTTTGCAAAGTCTTTTCATGGGACAGAGTATTTGTAAAGTGAGAGAGGCTTTAGCAGATCAAAGTGACTCAAACCAGCAGGTAAAACATGTGTGTAGCATTATAGAACAACCTACAAGAGACATAAGAAAGACCA